TAACTTTGTTCACATTTAGTCACTAAACTTTTTTTTGTTATCTATTTGCCATTGAACTATTGAAAGTGTTCACATTTTACCCTTATGACCGGTAACAGCCGGTCATAAGGGTAAAATGTGAACACTTTCAATAGTTTAGTGGCAAATAGATAACGAAAAAAAGTTTAGTGACTAAGTGTGAACAAAATCGAAAGTTCGTTTCCCTCTAAAAAGTTCAATGGCTAAATGTGAACAAACTTCCTATTGTATTGTGTTTTAGCAAATTATTTATTTTTGTTTAATTGTAGCAACATTTGTTGATGAAGAAATCTATGAAATAAAAAAACAAAATGTAACATCCGGATTTCCAAGTATCATAATTTAAGTATTTTTCTTTTGAGTTAAGAAGAGAGACTCGACGAGTTGACGCCTCAACTCGTAGAGTAAGGTCGCGACTGATGATTCAGATTAATGAATGGACTCGACGAGTCCACACTGTTGGCAGAAACCCTAAATCTTTGGGCCCGAGCCATAGTTAAAGGCACTTATGGCCTTCAATTGCGACTACCTTTCCCATAAGTGAGAACCCTAGCGAGCTTGAGTGTGTAGAGTGAGAGGAAGAGTTATCTTGAGCTTTTTGGTGTGATTTTGCAAGAAAGGAGAAGAGTTCCCGCAAGAGGGACAAGGAAGGTTATTGTTTTGAGTTATTCAAGTAAGGAGCTTCATTCTGAGGTACAAAAATGAACCCCTTTCCTTCCTTATTGTGTAGATTCCATTTTGGGGTTAGGGCTTGAAGCACTTCATTTTTGGGGTTTTGAATACCTCAAACCCCTCTTGCAAGTTTGTGTTATAGATCTGGACCCTTCTAGGTCCAGAGAGCAGAGGATATGAAGCTTTAGTAGAGTAAACCTTGGGGTTTGAAGTTAGGAATTTGGACCCTTCTAGGTCCAGAGAGCCGAGTATATGAAGCTTTAGTAGAGTAAACCTTGGGGTTTGAAGTTAGGAAGCATTTATGGGATTTTTATGGTATATATAGTTACTTTCATCTTACACATAGATATGAAGTATTTTATATAAATTACGTGCTATGTGTGCATATTATTTGAATACTTGTTGTCTATGTTGTATGAACGATTTTATACATGTTTTAAAAGATTTAAACGGTATATTTATTTTATATCTACAAATATGTTGCGGATGAAAGATGGGTAGATGAAATAGTTGGTGTGTGATGAAATAAAATGATGAGAGATAGGTGATGATAGAAAGGTGATGATAATTAGGTAAATAGATGATGATGAATAGGTGATGTAGGATGAAAGGAGATACCATAACCTTAACCGGCAATGTAACGATGTAGTCATCTACCAGAGTATAGATGGTGACCACAAATTATTTTAGACAACCCAGTGCAAACACCAGCAGGCTTATAACCTGTAGGTGATGAATTACGAGTTCAGACGATGTTGTAATTATGTATTCATGCGATGATACTCTAACCCCTTACTATGAATTACGAGTTCAGACGATGTTGTAACTACGTATTCATGGGATGTCACAAATTCCACATGCCAAACCAATGGTCATAATTCACATCAGTGAGAATGGTTCATTTTTTTGTAAAACCAAAATCAGATTGAAATTTTGATTTTTTATTTTGGAAAATGTCAAACCATTGGTTTTTTCGGTTTCGTTTTTTTTTTAAAAATATATTTTCAGGGTTTTGTTTGTTTGTTTTTTTTTTTTTATTTTATAGATTTTTTCATCAACAAATGTTGCTACAATTTAACAAAAATAAATAATTTGCTAAAACATAATACAAGAGTAAGTTTGTTCACATTTAGTCATTGAACTTTTTAGAGGGAAACGAACTTTCGGTTTTGTTTATATTTAGTCACTAAACTTTTTTTCGTTATCTATTTGCCACTAAACTATTGAAACTGTTCACATTTTACCCTTATGACTGGTAACAGCCGGTCATAAGGGTAAAATGTGAACAATTTCAATAGTTCAATGACAAATAGATAACGAAAAAAAAATTTAGTGACTAAATGTGAAAAAAATCGAAATTTCGTTACCATTTCAAATCATTATCCCTATTTATTATGAAAGACATGAACTTTTGATATAGTTTAAAACTCGTTTCAAACCTTTTTAAATACTTTAATGTTAGTAATTAAAAGTTTTACAATAAAACTATTTTTAATAAAAAAATCAATTTGAACCGTTTTAAAACAATTTAATAAATACTTATTTATAAGCACCTTATGTTAACTTTTAAATAATTATTTTTCAAATTCCAAGTGATGCTATTTTATGATAAAATGTTATTTGACATGTGAAAACTATATTCATACATAAAACATAGTATACAACATGAAATAAACAACACACACATGTATCAAAAAATATATAAACCAAACCATAACTAATAGTAATTTTTTTTAGCAAACACGAGAATTATTAGGACATTTCTAAGGGACATAAGAGATACTTCTAAATGGTCTTAAAAGCTCTCACTTGCCAAAATAATTCTTGCTTGAAAAAAGAACTTGAAGGCTCCAAGTGTTGTAGATGTTGTTACACTTAAACCATTAAGATTATAATTAATCCCAAAAAACAAGAACAAAAGCTCAATATTGGGATTATAGTCTCAAGTGGTTAAGTCATCTTCAAAATGATCATTTCTTCAACTTGTTACATTTGGAAAAAAAGAATACAACTAGTTCAACTAATATATTACATATAAATAAACAAATTAAAAAAAAAAATACTTATTTATCTATTACATCTTATGAATAAATAAATACCAACTAGAACAACAGAAATGTCCTAATGGCTTGTTTTTACACAATAACAACATATCAAATATACAAACAAAATATTTCATCTTTCTAAGACAAGTTTATACAACCAAATGCATAAAAAATTGGTTGCATAAAAATAACTATTATAAAAACAAGAAGTTGCCTTAGAAAATATATTTGGTAATTTCTTTGCCAAAATAAATACCAAACATATTTTTCAAAATCAAAGGTTATCAAACACTTAAAGAAATCCTTCTAAACAAGTATGAAAGACTTTGATACCACTGAATGGTTTTGACAATCCAAAAACGATCTTTTTTATAAAACAATTTTAACAGCAAACGAAAGACTTTTAAATTAACTAGTTTATTTTTAGATCATTTTAAAAAAATTACCAAGATGATCTAAATACATGAACTATAAAGAAAATAACAACCATAAGAAGTTAAGGAGATAATATTTGAAGCCTTTGATCCTAGTTGGAATGGGGAAGTTGATGATGATAGCAAAAACTTAAGAAAAAGTTTCTCTATAATGTATCTACCATCAAGAGTAAGACACTTTGGACTACTCGTTCCCTTCTTGTGTGAATTACTTCTTAAACCTTATGTACTTAACACAATTAAGCACTAAAGGAAAAATATAAATAACCACCAAGACTTGCAACGCTCTTCAAAAGAAAGCAAGAAAGGAGGAGTAGAGAGGATTATGGTTTTTTGAGAGAAAACCAAGGGAAAAGACTAGAGTTTTTTGCAAGCATCGCTGTTCCTTTTGTACTTACATCCAAGATCTAATGGCCAACCTTAATATAATATAAAGTAATGGCTAGCTAGATACATGGATAATGAAAGAGGGAGGTTATGGATAATGAAAGAGGGAGGTTGGCAAACAACCTCTCATATCCATGATGATTTTCGACCCATGCTTAGAAAAAGAGAAAAGATCTTTGACTAGTTTCTCCGACTAGATAAATCTAACTAACTAGTTAAGTCAAATGAAATCCAATGTATCTAAAACATTGTACATGACTTATTAAATCATACTTTATGATATAATAACTAGTTTGTTTAATCTTTTGTTATTATTTTCATAAAACAATAATTATTCTCCAATTAAATACAATACTTGAATTTATTTATTAATAATCAAATACTTAATAAATATTCAATAAGTACCGACTCGATAGATATAACCTTATAGAAACATATACTATTAGCAATATCATTAATAATGATTATTGAGGATGTACAGATCCAACATGTTCATATTCCGAAGTTCTTATTTTTTTTTTCTCCAAAGAATGTTCCATTCAGAATGCTCTATTTCAGGTTTGATCCTCAAATTATGAATTTGTTTTTTTTGGTTTTTTTCCTTTTTTTTGAAAGAAATATCTTCTCTGATGTCTGAAACGTATTTTTGATGTGTTTAATGTTACCGTTTTTTAATAAAATGTCTGATCTTAAAGTGTTTTTTTCGGAATTCGAAATTTTAGTTTAGAATCCAAAATGTATTTTTTTTTTCCAGAAAAAAATGTCTATTGCAAACAAAGCGGTTATTTTTGATAAAAACTATTCTTTTAGATTACTTTTTTCAATCAAAATTAAATTGCGTTAGATCACTCGATTTCCTTGATTAAAAGTAAATATTTATAAAATTGAGCAGGAGATCTATAGTGTTTAGTGGGTGAATTCTTACAGAAGATGTCTTAACTTGCAAAAAGTCAAAAATTATAAGCACGAGGGCTCTTTTCTCACAATTTACAAACTTAAAAAAGCAAAAGAAAGGCCTGCAAATTCATAAAAACCTTACAATTACGATCTTAACCCCACGAGAAGTAAAATATCAAGCAAGAAAAACAGGAAAATAATAAAATATACGAAGGGTATTATTGTCTATTCCTATATACCGGACAGACAGATATATCTATTCATGGAACACATGATAGCAAGCGAATATGCCGGATCCTTTTCTCCGTTGCGGAGATAGAGAAGAAGAAAATCTAGAGAGAGAAACAAAAGATAAGGTAATTGAAGAGAGAGAAAGTGATCGGAAAATCAAGAAATCTTGAAAAACTCAATGGAGTTGCTAAAAGATTAAAAGTTTGAATTGTAGGAGGTGGTGATAAAATAACCCAAAAAAAGAAATCCAAGATTATATTTTGAAAGATCGGTTATCGTCTCCGTTTATCTCCAATCCCCGGAAAAGCTATCGGACATGGCACGAGGCAGCAGAGCGAAGGTTGCCGCCGCCGGAGAAGCGATCGGATCGAGGCAGATGGTGGGGACTCAACAACAAGAGGACAACGAGCCTCGCTACCGTGGTGTTCGAAAGAGACCATGGGGTCGGTTCGCCGCCGAGATCCGTGACCCATGGAAGAAAGCTCGTGTTTGGCTAGGCACCTTCGACTCCGCGGAGGACGCCGCTCGTGCCTACGACGCCGCAGCCCGGTCCCTCCGTGGTCCCAAGGCCAAAACCAATTTTCCGGTATCACACGAAACCGCCGAGCACGTAACCGATGATCAGCACCACCAACGGGGTTTCTATGAATTTCAGGATTTCAATAACCAGTCTCGGCCGACGACGAGCAATCTGAGCAGCACCGTCGAGTCGACGAGTGGACCTCGCCCGTCAAATCCACCGCGTGTAAGAACCCACCAACGATTAAAACCACCGCCGGCACCTCCTCACGACGACGACGATTGCCATAGTAATTGTGATTCATCCTCTTCGGTGGTGGATGAATATTATTGCGACGCTGATCTCTCATCATCTTCCCGTAAACCTTTACCGTTTGATCTCAACCTCCCTCCGCCGTTGGATGATATCGGATTTTCCTCTAACCCAATTGACGACGCCGACGCCGATGCCGATGCCGATGACTTATTCGTCACCGCGCTTTGCCTATAAAGTTTCTCCGACATCGATGACCGATATGCGCACCCTGCTTTCTCGATCTCTTCTGCAAATTTCTTGTTTTTTTCCCAAGAAAATCATCATCCGTGGGGGATTCGAAGATGAAAATTTCTGGTAAATTCCTAAAAAAATCTTGATTTGTTTAGATTGATGTTGGTATGGGTAGATTAGTGTAATTTGAGGCGACTATGCGATTTATGCTTCAACCTCTTACGAACTTAGAGTACGATCGTCGTAATTTTCCCGAGGAATCATAAAAATTTATATGTAATTTTCACTATCTAGATCTTGAGTTTTGTTCTAACCTCATGATCTCTCATTTAGCTGCTTCTGTATAAAATTATAAATAAAATACACACAGTTCCACATTTCTGATGTTGATTGCATCTCTTATTTTCTTCAATGGAGCAAAAGTTGTTTGATCTGTGGATTAATCGTTAATGGGTTGTTCTTATTTTTTCGTTTCTATTTGCAAATCTTCAAATCTGCTTAATTTGTTTTCATATAACGCAAGACTGGTGCATCTTCTCCTCCAACTACCACCATGAAGTATGTCAGGCGGTGGTGGTGGTGGTGGAGGTGACGGTGGTTGGTGGGTTGGTTAATTATTTGCTTCCACAATGTTGCAGGGCTCCATGTTCTAGACCTAATCCCCTGCTTCATTTGTCGGGAGTATGCTTTAGTTCAGTGTATGTAATAACTCTGGGGTTGGTTTATAAAATAGTAAATTTTTGCTTATGATTATGACAGAAAATTATACTATTGAAAACTTGAAGCAATTTGTCATCGTTTTTACTTGATTAAATCTACCAATTATTTAGCCTCTAATCTTGATTTTATAATCGTTATACATAATGTGTCATTTTTATAAGAGCTGTCGTATTTAAAAAAATGATTTCCGTTTCACACATCGAATCTTTTTCTTGGATTCGAACTTTGTTTGTGAAAGCCAAATACGTAAGTCCTTTGCATTACGTATACGTTTTCAACAACCATGTGTAGTTTGATAGCTAGCCATCTTTAGAATTTTGTTTGAACATTAGAACGAAAACAACAAGAACAAAATTTTCTTGCAACATTAAAATGAAAGTTCCCTCATCCCAGCATCCAAGATGATGGAATTACCTAGTAATGTGGGGGGATCAACGCAGAGCTTGGGAATCGGGAAATGACCAAGGTATACTTAGGTTGTCTGGTGCGATAGAAGAAAAGACGCGTGGGGCTTAACTGGAATCCCCTGGAGACGCGTGAACACCGCCCCAGGGGTGGGTGGTTTGCGAGTGTCGTGAGGCGAGAGACGGACGAAGACGCATGCTTTGATTGATCAATTCTTTTTGACAGCTGTTTTGACCGTTTGCATGTTAAATTTTTATTTTATTTTTTCAAATTCTCCATATATAACGCTAAAACAGACCCATTTTATTTCAAAACAAACACACACATTCAATCAAAAAATGGATAACTCACATGGCTAACTCACACGATGATTCTGATGATGAGTTGGTATTACACAAACTATTGTCTATTGTACAAGACATGGTTAGTAGAGAGGCAAAAGTTCCTACGACGAGAAGAAACATAGAAAATGGATCAATCGGGATCGAGAGGCGGTAATGAACATTTGGTATGTGATTATTTTGCCCCTGATAGTCTCTATGACCTATCGAAATTCGACGATCATTTTCGTATTAGTAGAAATTTAATTTTACGTATAGCTAGAGATTTGGAACGTAATTTTAAGTTTTTCCAATTACAATGGGATGCTAAAGATAAACGTGATTTTACTACAAAACAAAAATGTACGACAACTTTTAGACAATCGAGATATGGTATAATCGCAGACGCATCAGACGAGTATCTAAAAATGTATGAGAGGACGAGTCGAGTGTGTACATATCTTTTCTGCGAGTATGTTATAGAGCTTTATCATGACATATATTTGTGATACCCGACTAAAAGTGATGTCAAACAGTTGTATGCCGTGCATCAAGCTAAACATGGTTTTCCAAGGATGCTTGGTAGTATTGATTGTACACATTGAGAATGGGCAAATTGTCCCAATGTGTAGCATGGTCAATTCACGCGAGGAGATCGTGGGGTCCTGGCTGTTATACTAGAGGCGGTTGTTTCACATCACCTATGGTTTTGTCATGCATTCTTTGGTATGGCGGGGTCCAACAATGACCTGAATGTGCTTCAAGCGTCTTCATTATTTAACAATATGTTGGAGGGTAAAGCACCGTACATGTCGTACGTTGTGAATGAAAATGAATATAAGTATGGGTATTACCTAGGTGATATATCCAAAGTATGCTACAATTGTGAAGTCATATTCATTTCCAGCCGATGAAAAACGAAAATTGTTCAAGTTAGCACAAGAATCTGCACGAAAGGACGTCGAACGAGCGTTTGGAGTCCTAAAGCAAAATGTGATACATAATCAAGCATCCGGCACGAACATGGGATATGGCAAAACTAACGATGATGTTGATTGCTTGTGTTATTTTACATAACATGATAATAGAAGATGAGGACATGGCTATATGTTCATATGCCGAGAACAATATGCTTAATCCACCTGCAGTGATACAAGTTGACAGCCCGATATACTTTTTTGGGGTTTTGGAAATATAAATCGTGAAGCACATCACAGTCTACGTCACGGTTTGACCAAACACAAGGGGGAAATGACGATGAAGACAAAGATGATGAGGGCGATGATGATGAGACGAATGCAGATGGTGACGACGAGGCGTATGAGGGTGATAACGACGATGAGTAGTATTTGTCTATGATTTTTATGTTTTAAGTTTTTTTTTTTTTGTTTTTTAATTATGTAGTGTGAAGTTTGATTTGTTATGTTTTATGTTTATTTTAGTAATTTAGGTTTTAAATTTCTATGTTTTTTAATTAATGAAATGTGGTTTTATTTTTTTTGTGTTTTCAAAAAATTTATCTATGTTATAAATTATATTTTTTATTTAGTATAATGTTACAAAAAATAAAAAAATAAAAAAATTTAATTATGTTATAAATTTTTTTTTTTATTTAATATAATGTTACAAAAAATAAAAAAAATTATGTTTGTAATAAATTATATTTTTTATTTAATATAATGTTACAAAAAATAAAAAAATAAATATTATTAGTGGTGACCATTTCTTATGTGTAGTGGGTTGGTAGTAGTTTGATCGTGAAACTGATGTGGCATAGAGATAGTACCTCTTTTTTGATGAGTTGGTGATGACCTATCTCGTTCACAAGATTGCACAAATTTGATCGTCCAAATTTAATTAAAGCAAAAAAAAAAATCCACTCTTTACGAATATTAAATTCATAACAAACCTTGTATAACGACAACTAAAAAAAAAATCAATCATCAAGATATTCTAAGCACTTCAACTATACAAGGCCGTGAGGAGAACTCCAATGGCAATACAACTCAACACAACAATTTATATGGATAAACGTATCTCCTTGTGCATTTCAATTGAGAGAGACAAAATAAAAAGTTAAAGAAAAATTTCTAGTGAGAGGAAGGGTGAAGTGGGAAAGGCTGTGGTGTGGAGAGAAAATGGTCTTTTTAATTTTGAAAATTATAATAATAAATAGAGTGAATTAAAAAATGGTCCATGTTTTTATATATTTTTCTTTAATCAAGCAGTTTTCAATTTTCATACAGAATGTCCTTAATGTTCGTTTTTTTCACAAGAATTTCTGTAATAGATATGAATATATAGTTAAAACATAATTATTGAAAATAGATTAGATGTTTAATATACAAATGAGAACTTGAATTGATACCAATTTTGGGGCCAAAATCTGTTTTGGTGTGTTGGCGAGTATTGGATTTGTCCCTTTAGTACCATTTTTGGTTTTAGATATGTGGATTCCTCCTTTATTTATTTATTTATTTATTTATTTTTTTTTGATGTATACACTTAGTCATTAACAATTTTGATGTTATCTCACATACCATATATTATTAACGGTGATATAACATCAAATGAGAAAATGATCACCATATTACATCTTATTATAATACAAACTTTTTTCCAATTTATAATTTTTTTTTAAAATTTAAACAAATATATTTTAAATATAACATAATAAATCAAACATAATGTTTAAAAATTATAAATAACATAGAAACAAATAATTTTTAAAAATTAAAAATAACATAGAAATTAAATTTCACATAACATCCAAATTCAAAAAAAAAAAAAAAACGCTATTAGTTAAAAAAAATAACATTTTCTTAAAAAACTAAACGCTATTTGTAATCGTTACCATGAAAGATATAATCCGTCAAATCATCTGGAAGTTGTCTGTGTTTATTTGCGTCCTGAATGTCAACAACTTTATGCAAATACTCTGTTGTTCCTGGTTGAAATTGAACACTCAGGAATCGTCAAGTATTATGTTGCTTCCTATTCAAGTTATACTTATGTTTATATTTGGAATTTTGGGGCTGAGGCGTACATTGTGCGTACAATTTGCACAATATTTAAGCATCTTATATCCCTCCAAACCCTTATCATCTCACCCTCCATTGCCCTCTCAGTGTCCAACTCGAACCCTAACCCTCTTGCTTGTATCTTGAGCTTATTTTGAGCATTTTGGTGGTTTTGAAGTGTAAGGAGCTTGAAAAAGGAGCAAGAACGTGAAGTGAGCTTGTAGACCTAGAAGTTTGGCATCTTTTCTGACTTATTTGAGGTATCAAGATTTAACCTTGACCATTGCATGCTTAGACATAATTTTGGGTTGTTATTTGTGGTATTTTGGCTCCATAGTTGAGATCTCTTGTGTTCTGGTATTTCCAGTACATAAGAGTTGTCCTTTTGAGCTCTTGGAAGCATTTTGATCCATAAAAATTGGGCCTTGGTGGTTAAGCCACAACCATGCAAGGGTTAGATGGTCAAAAAGTGTGTTTATGGACTTAAATCATGGCTCAACCCCCACCCATGCATGCAAAGACATAAAGTTTGTAACTT